GTATGAGCTTCATATTATCTACCTTAATTTTACTTGCTAATAGTAAATGTGATATATTTTACAAATAATAATAATAATCATTAGGTAACAAATGATGTTTTTTCCCTCGGAAAAAAATTTTAATTTTTTTTTAATTGCTTTGTTCACTGAGTATGAAAAATAAGTTCATTTCGTACATTGTTTAACGATTACATTTAATAGTCATCCGACTGTATCTGTTACATAGTGGTTGGAATTGTATTTTCTGATAGTCAAATAGAATTATACTGAACGGAACACTGACCCCAAATGCCCTGGTACGGTCGAGAGTGGGAAGAGTCCGCTCTCCCTCTCAAAATGCTCTCACATGGCCACGCGTATATAGCCTCTACCAGGGAAGTCCTACTCACTGCCTTCTCGTGGTGGGGGTGTTGTTTACAAAAATGAGAGGACGAAAAGCGAAAGTCCAGCGCTTTAACCGGATACCAAACCGATGGTGCACATGGGCTCCAGTATCCTGCGGGAACAAATGGCGTATGAACCAATAGTTGGTCACCGGCTATCATGGGAATGCATCTCCTTACGATGCTCCACTGCCTTGTGGATCAGACCTTCAGGTCGAAGGCTCGGGGAGTGGCCCCTTAAGAAAACCATCTGCTTAGGTTCGGGCACACGGGCAGTATCACAGCCCTCACACATATCGGATGAGATTTGTGTGGCACATATGTATTTGATGCCTCCTTGTACCAATATCTATGTGTTAAAATAAAAATAAAAAACGGAACACTTGTTCTTTTAAGTTATCAAGGTGAGTTAGGAGGCAATAAACATAAGAAAATCTGCTTTTTACTACTTAATTACCATAGCGATATGAACAAAAAGAGAAAGCTCTCGGTTCGAGGTCATTCACCCTACTGTACTGAGGCGTAACAGCAGTAAACTGTTCCCCTCAGGTAGCAGTTATCTGAGGTGAAGCTGCCTCTTTACAATATTGAGGAGTTAGAGATTTTACCTAAAAATAGCATTTTTCACTTTGCCCCGTGGGTTCCCAATTTATGTGGTGAAGTGTTTTTGAAGTATGGAGTTAACACACTTAAATTTACTAGTTAAAGGACTTTATGTGACCGATCCAAACCAATTATCCTTTGGGCTCTGGGACAACACATTCAGGTCGTCAAGACTATTCTTAATCCAGTTTCACTCTCATGTACCCCAAGAAGAATTATTCTTTCATGGTGTAATCATATATTCAACAACGTCCGAGATCACCTTGTTCGAACAATCCTTATTATTCATAATAAATGGTAACATAATATTTATGAAATTCCAATATCAATATTCTCCTAAAGCGACAAATTATCAATAATGTAGAGGAACAATTGATTGGTAATATCAGATGGGTTTTGTGGATATTATAGTGATTTCAATGGTTAAGATCATGAGTCAGTTGAAGCTAGATCGCCATTGGTAATAGATAAACAGACTTGTAATTAGAATGATACCAAGGTCTTGTTTAAAAGGAATACAACATACATTATGTGTAAACAATAATTAAATTTTTTTTAAATAAAACAAATAAGTGGTAGATTATAAATTAAGACCATTGTGAATAAACAATTCATTCTGATCAATTTTCTTCAATGTAACTTTTCTCGAATAGAATGACTTGTATTATTATTATTATTATTGACGGAATGACGTCACTTTTAAGTTATTTAACAAGGTGTAATATTTGTTTTAATATCTTTTCTAGAATAAGTAGATTTGAAATGAATGAACAAGACTTGTATATAAATGCTGAACAAGTATTCTTTTAAACATTCATTATACTACTAGAATGTAATAACTAGCACTATTGAATGGTTGATCAGTTTAAAGTAATGAAAAAATTGCTTGTTATTACAGATCAGTGATATCAAATGTTTACTTAATTAAAACAAATTTAATCTATATTTAAATCACAATTGTATAAACGAAGAATGTTCGTTTCAATAAGTTTCACATCGGGTTCTACTATTATAAATCCATAAAATTGGCCAGATTTAAAGCACCTATTTGTATAATTTAATACTAGAGTAATTAAAGTCTAACGGTTTAGTTCCTCGTTCAAGATCTGAAGGGGTCGTGAGCGCTCTGTTGAGAAGTCGTATATTCAAGAATAACAGCTGTATATCGCTATCCCATTCTCAGAGGTACCACAACTGAGATCAGTCCAAGAGGATTATGTTCCACTTACTAGTTAATTAAGAAACCTGACCTTGAATAAACTATCTGAAAGACACATGGTTCATAAAGTTCCTTAAAATGATTTCTACAATATTTTATCCCAGTATTAATTGTGTCACTAAAATCCGATCTATTCACACATTCATTGATTAATCTATCGGATAAGTGAAAACACAATCACGTGAATATAACGATAGATAAAACAATCAGGCAATTAGTAATCTAAGGTTCGAAAAAACTTTATTTTCTGATTAACTGTAAAACAATTTAAAGGAAATTTCACTGAAAACTTAACGAAATGTTGGAATCATTTCTTTACTTACTAAAACTATTTATTTAATTATATAAACGTGAATTGTAGAATGATTACACCATGTCTTTACTGCTGACCAATGTTTTGTTGCAAACTACAGATTTAATGTGAACAGAGAAACAAGAAACCCTGACAAACTACGAAAGCTATTTTTCGGGACGTTATTTCAGTTAATTCGAAGCTTGTAAAACATTAATATTTATTTTTGTCCTTTATTTATTCTACAAACCATAAGTTTTCGTTTAGTGTATGATTCACTGTCATAGCCCTTTTTGTTCCAAAGCTATTGTAATTTAAACATAATATTTTGCACCCTATTTTCTGCACTAATACTCAGTTCTGAACACAAATATATTTATCAGTTTAAAAGTTGTGGAGATTGTTGAGTTTTTGATTGAGATCATGAACCGATTGATGTTAGACTACCATTGAAAACCTGGAAGTACTGCACGGCCGTTTCGTTCTGTAGTGCGGCTTCTCAGCAGTGCGCACCCACGATCCCGCTCGCGGGACTCGAACCCAGGGCCTACAGTCTCGCGCGCAAACGCTTGACCTACTGAACCACTGAGCAGGAATTCAATGGTGTTAGTGTCTAACATCAACGAATCCACAAAACTGCGCGACTATCTTCCATTGTAGTGAGGTAGATACCCGTCTCTACCCGACGCGGGTTAGCTCCACTGGTCACGGCTTCTCACTAGAACTCCGAGAATTTTCTCATGAAGCTAGTCACTAGTGAGCACATGGTAATTATCAGTTGAGGTTGTGGAGATTGTTAAGTTTTTGACTGAGATCATGAACCGATGGATGTTAGACCGTTTCGTACTATTTTGGGACTCCTCGGCAGTGGGCATTGTATTTTCCTTATTATTGTACTTTGTGGTCGGGTTAGTCGTCTATTTATTCATGTACCTTTTTACACTAATCTGAAATCGGGAAATTGGGGATAGATCCAGTAGTGTTCCAGTTGACTTGTCTTCTCTAACTCGCGTACTTCTCAGCCAATCAGGTGATAGGATAGTTTTCTTCTCTCTAACCCACTTCGAACTCACGCATACTAACCTCAAGGTTAAACCGTCAACCTATCGCGTCAAGGTCTTAATCTAGATTAGACAAGTTATCCTCAGCACCAAAAGTGGGTAGACAGACCAACGACGTAACAAGATTCCTAGTTCAGGATGAAAATAACAATAAATTTATAAATTTCATGCAATTGGTTCCCTTTATGAATTTAAATAGAGCAAGAACAAACATTGATGCAGAATAGTATGAATTCATATTATTTCGAGGTTTCTCGTCAGCTGCTTACAACCCAAAATTGTGATAGAATTTTTTTACATGGAAATAGTATAAAACAATTAACATATATGAGTGTAAATAACTGGATTACAGTAACTACTGTATTTACTCTATTTAAATAAATTTATACCTTAGGTCTCGAGTTTTAATATTACATCATACTTTGATACCTCAAAAATTGCCCTGGTATGGCCAAAGGTGGATAAAGTCATCTCTCCATCTCGAAATGCACTCACATGACCATGTGCATAGAGCCACTACCAGGAAAGTCCTACTCACTGCATTCTCGCGGTAGCAGTGTTGTCTAAAAAATTGAGAGAACGAAAAGCGAAAGTCCGGTGCTTCAACAGGGTTGGTGGACATGCAGACCCTACACAGGGGAGTTGGAAAACCCTGATTCCCAATCAATAGTGCACATGGGCTCCAGTACCCCGAAGGAACAAATGGGGTATGAACCAATCGTTGGTCACAGGCTACCATGGGACTGCATCTCCTGACGTTGCTTCACTGACTTGTGGATCAGACCTGTAGGTAGAAGGCTCCGGGTGTGTCCCCTAGGAAAACCACCTGCTTGTGTTTGGGCACGCAGGCAGTATCTCAGCCCACACAGAGATCAAATGACTTGTGTGGCACATGTGTATCTGGTGACCCTTTGTACCAATATTTATGTGTTCAAATAAAAAAAATAAAAAAACTTCAAAAATTCACTCTTCCTTCAATCTTTTCCACTACTCCTGATACTATTACTATTTCTACTATTCCAGCACTTATCTTAATAATTTCATCTCACCGTTTTAATATAGTATGACAACATGAAAGAATGAATATATGCGCCAAACTCTACGTTGCTTACGAAGATAACCAGTGTTTAGTTGATAGAAAAAATCATTGAATGCTTCAAATCTTAAAATTAAATGATTCCTTGACCTAACACATAAATACAACGACCAAATGAGTAAAAAACATAGAAAAAAACTTATTAAAGTTAAAAAATGATTCTGTAACATAATTTCTTTTTAAGAAAAGATGAAAGACTAATGATAATGGAAAGTTATCGAAATGTTGTATGTTTGAGGTCGTCAAGATGTTTTATCATCCCCTTACTGATTTATTTTCAGGGTAATTAGATAATAACATCATATGCTATATTAGTTCTTAAAAAGGAAAGTTCATATATATTTCTTTATGTATCTTGACGTAAAATAGAAGAATGAAATATGTCAATAGTTGTTGCAGAACATGTCCGAAAGTCATAGTCATGTACACCGAGACCACAAAATTTATGTTCAGGACGACGTATATAATCCAATCCACGACCAATTTTAACAATCCATCCACTATCAAATCTATTTTTCATTTTTAAAAAACAGCAAAAAAAAATAAAACGAAAATATTTTCAACAAAACACAAATAGATGATCATGAATAAAGTGAATAATTTTATGGGATTTGTTCAATACTAAGTTATAGTGACAACATAAGCATGAATGTGGATTGATTGAAACTGTCACATTTAATAATTATATCAAATCTAGAGAAAAAGGTTAACAAGATGAATTTAGATTGGATTAATTAGATATAGCTTGAGGTTGGTATATTTCTTTATGTGGTCAGCAGTGGAACCTAAGATGCGCACATATAGTCTTATCTGGGACTTTTCAGGTGGATATATCTCCAACTTCGTGTTGTTATTTATACTGAGACTTGAACCTAGTACCTGATCACTTGCTATTTTGAATATCAACAATAAGAAATTACAAACGTACTTAAAACCTTTATACTTGCTGAACAATTTAATGACTACATAGATTCAATAGTTAAATAGATATTATGTTGATATTTCAAGAGATAAATAATTGGTCCAAGTTTCAGTGTAAACATCAACACCAATTAAATAATTTCTCGTATTAGCACTAATTATAAAACACAACAGAGAGGAAAATACTCAAAAAACCAAAACATATCACTGAACTCTGATTTTCTATAAACCAGTAAATTACATGCATAGTAATAGGATATTTGCTCATGAGATTGTAGCTCTTTTTAATATTTAATGTGCGTATGCCATCAAGTATTTCCGAGTATTTTTCCGTTCATTTAATAGGTGAATGCTGCATATAAGGATATAATTTTAACCGAGGATTTTATTTCAAGCTCCAATGTTCACTTTATTTGTTTTATTCATCCGGCAAGTTGGGAGGCGCTACAGTGAGGAATTCGTAGAAGACATCTAGATAGTTTCAGATCATTAAAATGAATTCCTTAGTGAAAACCATGCTGTCATATATAACGCTAATCCACTAAATGAACAGAAAGATGTTCAAAAATTCCAGATATCGTACTTACATTGAACATTGGAAAAGGATATTCAACCTCACGACATATGTATACACTAATCTTTTTGAATTGACCACAATGGTGGGAGATGACTGTTTAAAATGAAGCCGAACAATTACAATCCGAGACTATCAAAACGAAACAACAATCAAATTTTTATCTAACTAATCATTAACTAACCGTATCTCTCGATCATGTAAGGTATCCGAGAACGTCCACTCAAAAGTAACTGAATGCTTTTCTAGATCACCCTTTAACATGTTAAACTTTTCTATTTGTTCATCTGGATGCTAAAATAGTAATTATAAATGAAGAAATAAATAAATAATGATAATAATAGAATAGGATTTATTTGTCCAATAATAATCACTTATACAGAAAAGGGATAAATTACACTCTTATAGAAAACTGCATGGTTGGTCGTTATCAGTAGCTTATTAAAAGTACCGCTGAATGACAGCACCAAACCATTTATTCTCTGAAAACTAGTTTGACGCTATACAAGGAGTAAACCACAATATTATCAACGCACTAAATAACACGGAAATACTTAGTTTATTCCAACCACAGACATTAGTTGTGGGAACAGGAGTAGCTTGAAAGAAAGCCGTGGACGATATAGCAACAGTCCATGTACTTGGTAAATGTTGAACTGAACCGTATTGGTAGGTGGAGACAATGTGGTTAAAACTTGCATGATAACAGCGACAAGTAGTTGGAGACGCTGAATGATATGATTAAGAATCGTTTCCAGTGGCACATCTGCATTTAATGTTTATCTTTTCTTAGATTATGAATTTCGATATTTCTTCATATATACCATTTCAAACTATATTATCCATTCTCAGTCTTCCCCATTATCATTACTGCACCTCGTTAATTTCATTTCATCGTATTGATTCCATATAGAAACTCGAGTCAGAGTACATCTGCGTCAAGCTCTAGATTGATTATAGCTAACAGACACTTCATGGCAAAAAAGTCTCAGTGAACGTAAATTATTTTGAAGTCTTTAGCAAAGGTAAATACTACGGTTTAGAAGCAATGTGGGATAAATTGTTTTTGAGGTATTGAAATACTTACAATACACTAACTAATTTGCATTGGAAAGTTGTTTCAATTTAATTGGCTAGATTACCAATTTAATATTAACTAAAAAGTTGTATCCCGATTTGTGAAATTAAATAAATGATGAAGTTGTGAAGTTATTGTCATTTTCGGTCAACAGGTCACTTGGATTGACAACCACTTCACTCATGATTTACGTAAACAGACAGTATAGCTATCCTTCAGAAAATTATAACAGCCTATTATACGAAAACGAACAGACTAAGTTATGTACACTACAAATAGATGCCAACTTATAGTGTTAACGGTAATTTTAATAATCAAAATAAAAGGCTAACTTCTTATCCATTTATTTATCAACGATTAATATGCGAGTAAAACTAATGTTAACTAGCTATCAACTGATATGTTTAGCAAATATACGTATATGATCAAAAAAATGACAGTAAATGGAGAAATACTAAGTTGACTGAATATTTATGAAGGACATTGGTAGTAATTTCATAGTGTTAATCTTCTTTTGCTGTACTGATGAGAAGTGACGTTGATTGACGACATTACTTTTCCCAAGTTGGTTACGTTTACAGATTTCCAATAGTAACAGATGAGTGTGTATATATATTTGAATGATTTAACCACTACTAGGTGGAATATTTGATTCCTGCTCTATCTACTTCAGTCCCTAACTCTTACAAATGTGTAAGATTCAATGCTTGTTAAATCAATCAGTACTTGCCATTTCATTGCACTAACTTGTCAAAGCGAAGTGTAATCAGTATTAATAATAAGATATTACCGATGAGGGGTCTATTATACTATGATACAGGTAGATCGGTGCGAAACTATGGCAAGTCCTGATAACATGATAAACCAAATATGTCACGTATTTTTACAAGGCCATAAAAATCACAAGTGTGAGAAGAATAACACAAATCTGGTGATGAGACGTCTGAAGCCATATAAGCCTCATCATACCCTTCATCGATTAATTTCAATTATATTTTGAGTTGAAAATTATTTCTAATCAATGTATAAGAATTTGAAAAGATATACTCCATAGTGGTAGAAAATATATATATAACGAAAACTGATTTTTGACTCGGATTAAATGGATTAAAGGTGGACAAATTAACAAACCTGGGCATCTTCTCCGGTGGTTAAATAAATATTTTTCACCTTCGACACTGATTGAACGATGACTTCACAAAAGTGAGAAAAATTCTCAATCTAAATAAAGACAGTTTTGCATATATGAAAAATTTTGGTTAACTTGATAACTATTTCTGATATACGGATCTTCTACCCAAACTTTCCTTACTGTACCATCTTCAAGAAATCTTCCAAAAACCTTCTTGTAACTGTAACCAGTAGCACCTTCTTCTATAACAATTTGTTCGTGATAATTTCCATCTAATATGAAAATAAGATGAGATAGTTTTTTAATTTAACTAACTTTCTGATTCCTTTTTAAGTTTTTCCTTAAGTTTTTCTGCATGGGTTATATACTCTGAAACTTTCAGTCTGAATCTGTCTTTGAATTCTGATTCTAAAAACAAGAATTTAGTAGTGTAAACAAGTATATATTACGTGTATTATCAGGAATAGAACGTAGAGCTTTGATGAATAAACCAATACTTTCTTCATAGCATGTCAAACTTTCAGTAAATTTTAATTGTTTCTCAAGTTCTATGGCTCGAAGCATAACAATTGAGCCCGCTTCTATCAGGGAATTCGAAGTCATCGTAAATGATTCTTGCGGGTAGATTTTTCAACAAGTTGGCTGTTTTTTGGAATGATGATTTTGAAAAAGATTGAAATTTATCATTGATTTTATCGAAGATAAACCATCTAGTTCATTATGATTATTATAAGAGATCAAATATGTTTTACAAGACATAAGATTGACATTTTCTAGATAAACACGAATTTACAGTCGAAGTTCGAAATCAGTCAGTCAGTCGGCAACAACGTAGAAGTTCGTACGTACCTATATCAGTTCAAGTTGCTACACCACATTAGCACAGAGATGCAGTTGTCGATTCAAATCCCGTAGTGATAGAGGTAGTAGGAGTATAAACAGTAATCGGAAAGATTAGGGTTTGGAGATGTTATTTAAAGAGTATAATACAGTGAAACAAATTTGGAAAGAGAAAAGAAGAGGCAATGAAGAATCAGGAGATTAGAATTTGGGAGGACACAAAGAGCGTTTGCACCTGCGCCATTGCAAACGATTTTGAGCCATGTCATTCAGGGTCTCTAACCATCGGTTGCTATCATCTCGCGGTCCCCAATCAGGTAGTCTACACCTACCAACATGACTCAGTCCACTTGTCAGTGACTTCATGGACTTGTGCCATGTTTTGGTCTGGCCGCCCCTAGCTTTCTTCCAATCTACTCCTACACCATAAAACATCGCACGTGTATACAGTCGGTGGTTGGGCATACATAACACGTGTCCCAGCCATCTCAACTGATGAAGTTTCACTACGTCATCAATTGATTTGCCAGACTTACCTAGTACCCGTTTCCTAACAACCGCGTTATTTACTCGATGGTCCCAGGATATACGAGCAATGTTTCGAAGACACCTATGATCAAATACTAGTAACCTACGAATATCCTCTACTCTTACTGGCCATGTTTCATTGCCATAAAGTAGGACGGAATTGAGTTGACCAGTTCCTTTCCGGTATATGAAACACTTAGAAGCCATACCAATTGCAGCCCCGAGATAAGTTGGAAGATAAACAAACTATAATGGCGATTTTCCTACCGAAATAGCCTGTGCTATTATTATGGAAGTTTTTGATGAACTGGTAATACGGAATTTCCGTCTGTTAAAATTGACATATCGAATGTCAATCAATAAATGAACGCGATGATATGATGAAGCTGAGTGAGGGTTGACCATAAAACCGTACTACTGACCTAAGCCCTCGAACGATTAGAAACAAGACTACAAGCTAGATGATATGGGTTTTGTATCATAAAATGACACGCTTATACACAAAATAAGCATGACAAAATGTCATAGGGAATTAGAGGAAATTAGTTTATGGGTCACTCATTAACCAATCAGTTAGGACTTAACTGCTGGACCTAATCTTTGGGCATCGTATTACCTCCCTCACAAAATGATGCGGAATCCTTCTGCGGCAACACTCGTGAGAAGGTGGTAGTTTTAGTTTGTTTCACATAATCTTAGATTTTATTGCAAATCATGTTTATTTTGGTTTTTAACCGAGTAAAACTGGCTTACTAATATAAAATATCAAATACTTCGTTTCACCTTGAGTAGTGTTCAGATTATGACTAATGAAAGAATGTTTTGATAATTTTTGTACGGGACTGGATCAATTGGATGCATATTGATCTCCACTGATTGCCCACTGATTAAATTGCACGATCTTTTTTTAATGCACAAAACTATATCAAGTGATGAATTACTAAAATAGAAATCGCTATCGGAAGTCTTAGTGTGTCGCAGACTGAAAACAACTCAACACCTGATGTTACCGGGAATGATTACTAGTAGAAAAATGGTCCCCTTAAAAGCTTTAACATTCGAAGTCATGTGTTTTTCCGAGATCATAGACCGATGAAAGACAAATGGATAAAGAGGAGTGTGAAACGAGGGTTGTGACAGGTATTGTATGACGCAGTGGTTGGAAAACATAACGAAATAGCAATCAGTAACGAAGACGCATATCATCCGACATACGATAGCAACAAGCAACACCGTTGTAAATATTAATATACATTTACAGAGTACTACAACCCCTGAACGACACACTAGAAGAAAAACAGGAGATACCTCCTAAACAAGTAGACCTACATCCCAAAAGATGGCCGAACCGACGTCAACGGCGGAATATTCAGTTTCAAGTGAACTAAAGAGGGTTGCGCAATAAATACAATTTACGAGGAAGGAGACCAATATCGATTGGAGATGACTTTTTGTTACATTAATTTATTCAGTCCGAATATTATTCATGACCTTTAATCCATTTTTACTATGATTCGTTTCAATTAAAAACTACTCAGTTACTAAACTATAATCGTTGTAATTGACATATAACTGATTATGTTGAATATCTTCTGTGTTCTTCTGGGTTTTGATCAATAAAGCTTCCTCGCGACAACTACACTGCTTACTTCGATTAAAAAAAGCAGGGAAGAAGAGGATAGCAGTAGTCTCGTTTGTAATGGATTAGGCATCGAAGATACGACTTCAGAAGATATAAATTAATGAAATAAAAGCATTGTGAGAAGTTATGAAGCTTAAAACCTGGGGAAAGACAAAAAATAGATTCACTTGTACTATTGCAAACGATTATGAGCCATGTCATTGAATAATTAAGCAGGTTTTACATCTTGTTGAGCGTACTGAAAAGACTATCCCGTGTTATGCACTGAAGTATATAATTTCAGTTACCAATCTACATATTTATTGGTCTTGATATTTGATTCTACACGAACTTTTCTCAAAGGGATAACTAGTAAGTACGCGGTATTATTAAATATGAATACAGTGATCTTGAGTGCTGTTAGAGGCATGCGGGCGGTTACTACTTCCTGGTTGCCCACACCGTGGAAGGATTCTTCAAGAGGTACCTGAAAAGAAAACTGGGTTAGAGGTGGTCTTAGTGACCTGAGTGAGTGACCGCAGTGCACAAGGAGCAACTGCCTGAGCTCAGTCACACAAGACCTTTTAGTACTTCTCGTGTTAGCTCCATACTTGTTGGAACCTTACTGCTGGAGACGAAAGTCCGTGGGATAAGGCGGTGTGCATTTTTGGGGTCGACCTTTTCTAACCCCAATCTTCTTTGTGTAAAGGCAACATCGCTTTTATGCTGGTTGTTTGAAGGAAACACCTTACTGCCGTTACATCCCTGTACAGTCAGCAGTACCACTTCGCCCCCAGACCTTGCGTTTGTTGCTTTTAGTCTTACCGCTCTTTGACCTGCTTATCTGGCATGGTGAGACCTTGAAGAACGATTGTTCCAGACATTATAGCCCGACTAGTTCAGCACGATGAACAAGCCCAGCCACCACGTCAAGGTAGCAGCAACGGTCACATATATCGAAGTCGAGATGTCCGTCTATCAATAAAAGGACGAGTATACTGCGCGGCAGTTCGTTCTGTTTTAATTTACAGCAGCGAAACATGGCCATTAAGAGTAGGAGATACTCGTAAGCTACTAATATTTGACCACAGATGTCTTAGAAATATTGCTTGCATCTGTTGGGATCACCGGGGAAGTAATAGTGAGATTCGACGCATGGTATTAGGGAATGATGGTAAATCAGTTGATGAGGTTGTGAATCTTCATCGACTGAGATGGTTGAGCAACGTGTTACGTATGCCTGAACACCGATTACCACGACGCGCAATGCGGACTAGTGTTGGGGATGATTGGAGGACAGTTAGGGGCGGCCAAACTAAAACGTGGCATTAGTCATTGAAGTTAATAACCTCTGGTATTAGCCATGTTGGTAGATACAGACTACTTGGTTGAGGTCCGCGCGACTATCATAGCCAATGTTTGGAGACTCAGGGTGACATGGCTCAAAATCGATAACAATGACGTAGGTGTATACACTCTTTGTTTGCCCTTAAACGGTAAGATTAAAACTGCTTTATATCTTTCTTTCCAACAAATAATTCTTTCTCCCTGTATCATATCTTTATATGAAATCATCCTTTTATATATTACGACCACTGAAGTAACTACTTCTGTAAATATGGTATTCATCTTGTGCTAATGAGGTGTGTCAACTTGGACCGACACATATAATTTAGGTCAGTCGATTGAAGTACGTTAAAAGCCATATTCGGACAAATAATACATCCCTTCATAACACAGTCAAACTCCGCCTGGAGTCCCTCCGGGGGCTACTGCCGGTCCCAAGCCCGGACAAAGGAGGAGATTTGGGCATGGGGTTAGCGTCCCCATCCCGTAGAAAACTAACTCGCTAAAAAACGCTAACCAGAAAAAAAGTCATACCACAGTCAACTTCATATAAGCTATCTTATATCCCTTTTAACAGAACCCGAGACTCGTTCTTCGCAACTGGTCATAAAAAAGTCTGAGTGCAGTAGGGTCAAGAACATATGTAAAGTGGACATCTTCAGGTTGAACACTGGTTTACACAAGACAGTTAACAGATAATTGCATCTGTCCCAAACAACTATTATCTTACATCAAGAGGAAGGTAAGACGAAATGACGAGATTTATTAGCCACAATTATACGAGAACTAAGTGGCCAGCTGAATCAGACCTATTTCTACAGAAACCACCGCTACACTATGTCTTCTCTTAAGTTTGTCGCTATAGTTCCGTATGATGATGGCAATCATTTTAGGTACACTAGTGTCGAAGAAGATTCTACGTCATTCTCTACATGCTTTCGAATGACTCCTCAAAATCAAGGAATTTGGTGTATACCGAGGAGTTTTGTTAAACTGTGTGACAATTTTCAGTGTAGCTATTTGGTTGCTACATGATCGACGCTAAAAAGACCTGGTGTCTTGATCTCAAAGTTAAGGGTCTACATGACCCCTCCTAAAATTGCTTAGGGACTACCTGGTATGTCGCGCCCTCAAATGCATTGGAACATCCGAGAGTAGAGAGAGTCATGTCTTCATCTCAAAATGCACTCACATGACCATGTGCATAGAGCCACTACCAGGAAAGTCCTACTCACTGCATTCTCGCGGTAGCAGTAATGTCTAAAAA